TGACGGCGCGGGCCGGTGGAAATATCATGGAAAACATCGAAGCAAACTCAGGTAAGCAAACCTTTTTTGCGAAATAATTTGTTATAAAGTTATTTTACCATTTTTGTGGACCCCAGTTTGATTTTTTAGAACACGTGCATCAATTTAAATCTAATAATCGGTTTGAAATCGGCCAATTTCCGGCGAAAATATTTACGTTTTCTGCAATGCGTTTGTCAAAGGTCACCGTGATTTCACCGCCATTCTTGTTCTGTTTTGAAACTGTTTACATCGCAATTTGTTTTACAAAAAATGGCAACATTTAAATCATGACATAACAAATATAAAAGGAAATTTTAGCTGGTGTGATAAGATGAAATGTCTCATCGATTGTTTGGTTTCTTTTCCGGCGTTGTTTGCATGGAGACATCGACTAATTCACAACAACAACAACAACAACAACAAGGGAAATTTGAAACCGAAGTCGAAGAGGCTAGCTAAACAACCTACCTTAGATTCATTTTACAATACTTTTATACAATACTCATACTACATTATTTGTCAATTTGTTTTCTTTTCGTTATTTTTTATGCAGATATCAACGACAAGGAAAATTTGAAGCCGAAATCTACATCAAAATCCCGAGGATTACAATGCTCTTTATATTTCAACTGTATAAACCGTGCATTAGGTGCATACCCTTACCAAACTGACAGATATGTGGCAGGTACATGTCACAGTTTTGTAAAATATCTGCAAAATATGGTTAAGAAAGTATCTGTCACATATCTGCGACATATAGGAATTTGGCCCCATGGCATATCTGTCACAGTTATGTGGCAGATATCTGTTACAGTAAAGTTATATGTGACAGACACCTGTCACAGTTATGTGACAGACGTCTGCCACATATCTGCAACATATAGGAATTTGACCCAATAATATATCCGGCACAGTTATGTGACAGTATAGTTTCCCTACAGATAAAATTGTCTGTATATTATCTACCAAACAGATATGTAACATAACTACCACCAAGTGAGATTTATTTCTACCATAAAATTAAAACTATTTCCTCTTACTTCTGCAACATAAAGTTGCTGCAACTGTACCTCTGCCATGTTCACTTGAAGCCATAATAATTTAATACGAAGAAATACTATCAGAATATTAATTTAATATTAGTAAATATATAATTATAGGTCACACATATAGATAAATTTAAGACTGTATAGTGTAATCAATCATTCACCAGGGGCCAGTTGTTGAAAGCTGGATTAGGTAATTTAGCTTAACCCTATAGCTTAATTCAAAGCAAACTTCCTGACAGCTTGTCAATAAATTTGGAAATATGTCTTCAAAGATCTTGTCTGGATCGATAGGAGTTTTCTTCTTTGACGTTTTGAAATAAACAGACGTTTTGAGATAAACAGACCTGCAGAAATACACAAACTAAAACAGCAGGTTAAATTTTAACTCAGGGTTATCACTAGTCCAGCTTTGAACAACCGGTCCCAGAGTACTTACACATATGGTACTATAACCTACACTTATTTAAAATTTTCTAATATATAATTATATTATTTATGGCCAGAAATAAATATTGAGTATCTAAACGTCAATAATTGTTAATTGTCAAGTCTCACTCAGATGGTTTGCTTTTAGTTTCTCCTCTTCGAACCCCACAGCATTTGTCCTGTACCGTTTTTGCATAGCAGCTGTCTTTCTATAGACTGTATCGTCCAGAGCAAAAGCTGAAAAAATACGAATTGATAAAATCATATGTTTACATGTTTTAGCTTTAATTACATGTTACATGTTTTAGCTTTAATTGGCATTAAGACAGCAAGAATAATCTAGTGTTAGGCCATGCAAATATGGGATGCCCTTAGGGTAGCCATATCTGATGGGTTACCAGGTATATATTGGCTTAACCATCTTACGGGGAGACTTTAGGGCTTACTGACGAGTTAGTATATGAAGCATGAAAATATATGTATATTTGTTTGGTATCAGACAGAGTAAATTAACAAGATGGAGCACATTAGGACAAATTGCAGGTCAATGGGTCCAGCCACAGCCTTCCCCCTGCATTGTTGCAGGCTTATGGACAGCTTTACATGTACTGTACTGACTTATTCATGACAGAAAACTGGTTATTGCACACTGAACCTTTATCTAAACTAACTGTTGTACACTATGCTCATTTTTTGCTATGGCACAGATAAAATTGGTACCTGTTGTCCTGTACCAAATTTATTTGTGCTCGTCCTGTATGAATATAGGTAGTCCATGCATGGTAAACATGTTAAGGGTACCAAAATTGAGCACAGTATAAACAGGCCTTAAAATGGGCTGCATTTAGAGGTAGGCTTAGGATTCATGTGTAATTGTGTTGATACAATAGTTACTAAATTCTTGATGCAGTATCAAGAAATGTAATAAATCCTACAAACAACCTCCTTAGAGGCTGCAAACAACCTCCTTAGAGGCTGTTTACAAGATCTAGACTGATTATCTGGCCTGAATGGCCACCTTAGCTGGGACAGTTTGCCATTTTCTTCATATAAAGCACTAAAAGCAGACTATTTACTCTTTTTCTTACCTAATACAACACTAGTTTGTCAACTCAATCCAGATATTCCTGATTGTTGAGAGCAATATTTAGAACTGGGCTATAACCTGGCCGGCTCCAACATAATATAGCAAATTTTGTCAAATATAACAAATTGACAAATAATATAGTATGAGTATTGTATAACGTTGTACGCTGCTTGGCTAGCCTCTTCGACTTCGGTTTCAAATTTCCCTTGTTGTTGTTGTGGATGTCTGCATGCAAACAACGAAAAGAAACCAAACAATCGATGAGACATTTCATCTTATCACACCAGCTAAAATTTCCTTTTATATTTGTTATGTCATGATTTAAATGTTGCCATTTTTTGTAAAACAAATTGCGATGTAAACAGTTTCAAAACAGAACAAGAATGGCGGTGAAATCACGGCGACCTTTGACAAACGCATTGCAGAAAACGTAAATATTTTCGCCGGAAATTGGCCGATTTCAAACCGGATATTAGATTTAAATTGATGCACGTGTTTTAAAAAATCAAACTGGGGTCCACAAAAATGGTAAATTAACTTTATAACAAATTATTTCGCAAAAAAGGTTTGCTTACCTGAGTTTGCTTCGATGTTTTTAATGATATTTCCACCGGGCCGCGCCGTCAAAATGATTAAAAAGACCCCACGAAAACGCGTCAGTTGAAGAAAAAACTATCTATACTAATAACTAGGATAATAATTGATTTGACTAAGCTGAAAAAGTATCTAAAAACTTGATAAAACGAGAGAAAACTGCCATAAAACTTGGTGCCTCACTCTTTGACTTTCGAACAAAACAAAAAATAGAATTTTGTGTTTTGCATAATAAGCCTCGTTTTCATGTTATGCGAAGGCGCGGTTACTAAGTTTCGCAATTGGTCTATTCCATTTTACAAATTTGTAGTAGAATATAGCCTGCATGACTGATGACTGATGACTCGCCTGGTATTTTGTTCTTAAGGTGTTTCAGTATTGCAGCAGTTCCTTTCTGTAAGGAAAATAAACACGCACTGAAAATGAACCAAACTCAGAGAACAAATTGATAGCAATCAAAGTACAATATGGAACAAAAATAAGTTACAGTACTATTATAAAGTCTAGCCTAAACATGCAAAAAGCATTTGCTCAAAAACTCCCACCATTATAATATCTCGCCTGATACTTCGTAAAGGATTCCCATCCAGTATTACTGATTTCAGTTTGTTCATGTTGCCCATGCGATATGGAAGTCTATTAAAACACATAAATCCATCTGAAATGTTGGTTTTGTGTAGGGAAATCATGTGCATATACTGTACTTACTCAGAAAGATTGTTGTTAGATAAATCCAGTCGTTCCAGGACAGTCATCGTTGTAATTTCGTTGGGCAAACTTGAAACGAGAAACGTAACTTCATTGAGATACATGTAAGCATATTAACATTTTCACAGCTTCCACCTTTAAGTTATAAACTTTAGATATCCATAATTTATTGTGGTAAAGGTTCTATATACTATGTAGGCCTATTAAGGTAAAATGTACATTATATCTACAAATATACAAATATCAAAATCTACAAAGAATAACACGAATAACACTTTATTTTTTTTAATACTCGCAGGTAACACACCGGGCGATCTTGTTATCTCGAAGATGCAGGATCATCACAGAAGATAAACATAATATTTCGTCTGGGTTTATGTTAGCTATATGGTTATACCCCACGTAGAGTTCCTAAAAGGCATAACAACAAGATATAACATCCAATCGTCACAGCATAAAAAGGCAGAAACTTATGTGTATATTATGAAAATATTCTGACACGTGGTTGCGTAAACGCGCGTTTAACCTCAATTTCACGCCAATGCTGAAAAAATGTTCGGTATAAATCTTCGAAATCTTGGTATTAAGTGAGGGAAGAAAGCATGCAGAAAGATGTACATGGTCAATGTACAGAAACAGCAACAATATAACCATACAGTACATTACAAGGAATGACTTTAGTATCAAGTGGTGTAGAATATACTGTACGACATTTGCAAAATCATTATACTTCACTGTACAGGCATATTCATGCTAGCCCAAATTACTGTACCTTAAGTCTGGTACATGACTGCAAAGTGGGCACTTTTGTCAAGTGATTGTAACGACAATCGAGTCTCTCCAGCTTTCCCAGCTTACCAATATCTAAAATGAAATGATTTATCTTAATATTCACTTAGATATAAGTACCACAGACAAGTACCACACCACCACGGTCTGCTTCATGGAAACTTGCACGAAGAGAAATCTCCACCTAGAGAAATTTGCACCCCCATTGGGATAAATGATAGTAGTGCGATTGAAATAACTAAGTAAGATTAAAAACAAGGATTTGGAATTAAATAAGACAAAAAATCTCACATTTTGCCAACTGTGCCCCCAGACCCCTGCTGCAGCTTGCTCGGCGGCGCTACGCACCCTGTCGCTAACCTCCCCCCAAATTTTTGCCACCCCTTAAACTGTCGGCACCCCCTCCCCCAGAGCAGAATCTGTTTATGATATTTATGATAAATAAACGGATACATGCAATATTTCTGATCGTAATAATACAATAATTTCATAAATTATATTCACCTTCTGGCAAGGTTTCTAGCTTATTGTTTGAGAAATTTATTTCACATAAAACTAAAAAGAAAATTTGAAACAAGATTTCAACAACTGATTTAATAAACATCTCATACAGTAAGTATATCGTGTAAGAATTACAGAAATAACAAAGTGTGAATAGAATAACGATACAATAAAGAAATACACAAAGCACGAGAAAGCATGGAACGTACCAAAAAAGCACGAGAAAGCGTGAGAAAGGACCAAAATAACAAACGAACAAAATACTAACAAGTAGACAATAAAGTTACCAATAAACAAAAAAGACAAAGAAATGAAAAAGATTATAAAATTTAATACTGTCCATCAAGAAGGTAAATAACACTATGGAAAACATCCATAGATAATACACCACATTTTCTTTAACTGGCAAAGTTTCGATACGTAAGCCCATGCAGATCATCATCAGTGATAATACAGCTAGGTTTGGTGTTATACCTGACATGCCAGCAACTCCAGCTGGGCAATTTCTTAACGAGTTATGAGATGCATTTAATTTTCGTAAACTTGTCAGTGATCCCGATGACGCCGCTAAAGTTTCCAGGAAATTATTTGAAACGTCCTGATTAAAAAGGATAATAAAGGATATGGTATAGTTTTATTCACACAGTGACACAGGACGATTCCGTCTGAGTAGAAACACTGGTACTGTATCAATGGAGGTTCTGTATGTAGTTACTCAATACACTTGAGTGTTCAGCGCCTACACCATTCCACCGTTGAGGGTTTATCCTCGTCTGCGGTTTCATCAAACCATGGCTATCTCTAAAAGTGGGAAGTAACGGGGAATGGGGGAATATCATATTCCCCCTTTTAAAGGTCTTTAAAAGGGGCAATATCCCCATGTTCCCATTTTAATGATCTCTAAAAGGGGGAATATGATATTCCCCGATTCCTCGTTCCCCCTTTTAAAGATAGCCATCAAACCACAGTCACAAAACACTTCTAGAAGTTCAACTTCGTGTTAGCGTCTTTGATGTCAAGCATAACCGGCAGCTACGTTCCAGTGCGCTAAGGAAAGGCCGTCACCTGGTTGAAAACATCCACATGGCCAGCTTGGCTTAGACAGCATTGCGAGTGTTTAGCATTGCGACTATACAGTATATGGAGTGGCGGCTTTTGACTGAGTTGGACCCCTGTGAGGTATATACTGTACTCTGTGGTCAGATCGTCAACAAGTCCTTATCGTAACTCTGAAGAGGGCCCTCACTTACGCCTGGTTTCTATTTAGCCGTAACATATCTAGGTGACCGATGTAAGAGTGCCAATATGTCACTCTTTTCAGTCAGTCAAGACTGATTTGCATATAACCGAAAAGACAAGATACAGTATAGATCCAAACTATTTCACATTGTTGAATATGATATGGTCATGACAGTTACAACGAAATGGAAACCAGGTTTTAATTGATGAAACTGTTGATATTTTTCAACTCGAGGAGAATAAGAAATATCCATATAAGAATCTCCTCTTTTAGCTCCATATATTTATAAAAGTTTCCATCAATGGAACATCGACATTAATCTTCACCTTGCAAGGTGAATTGATCCGATCTGTTAGACAATAGTACAGTATATTCAGGCAATTATATATATACGGTAACATGCACAATTCAACAATTACGATAATATATATCAGAACACATCAACTGATTACCAGCTCTTCCAGCTTATCTAGTTTTCCAATGTTCTCCACAAGTTCTTTGAGTTGGTTGTGTTGTATCATCAGTGAGACCAGTGCACTGAGATTACCAATTTCACTTGGAAGGCATGTCAATTTGTTGTAACTGAAAAATGCAGAATGAACTTCGGTTTATAGAAAAAGGTTTTCTAGTTATTAAATAAATAGTTTAGTCTGACATGTTATTTAATATATATAAAATAATCTAAAAAAACACTAAGCAAGTAGTATGAATTCTCGTGCAATTCTTGGGTTTCACTAACGGCATCATGCAGTGAATCTGACGGGGAGTCAACCTCAAATGTATTGATACTTACGCTATACTGGAGTGAGAAAATGGTACGAAATTCCATGTATTTGTTACCAAACACAAGGCTAATCCATAAAACAAGCAATCGACTCACTCTGATAACTGTGTTTTGTTTTAGAGTTCACCCCCGGTCACTTCTGTGACGTCATATGAAACCCAAGAATAAGAACACGCACTCCACTCGTGGTTTTGAAGCACCTGGAACTTAAACTCGTCTTTTTCATTCAACATGCAATTTTGACTGATATTCTTTGAAAAACTCGCGCTGTTTGATTTAATGTAACGTTCATCAAAACTATAAAAGCTATTGCACTCAAATAAGTTTTATTGCATTGAAAAAGGGCTAACTTAGATTTCGATATATAACATTTGAATGGCTGTGCAACATCTACTGAGCTATCGATGTTTTAAATCGAATAAGCATATTTGACAATGTTAAATACATAAAATTGCCTATCAAATATTATTTGGTTAAACTTGATAAATTATATAGTTTTATTATGGCCAAAAGAACGAATGAAAAACATAATTGTTGGATAAACAATTATTAATTCGTCTTAGAAAGTATGTCCTTTTTCACGTATACAATGTTTTGCACGGGAAACCATAAAACCCAAACTCTTTGATCTTTTGTTAATCGAGGCATATTCGAAAGGCGACCGAAGACCACCAACTTTATAATACGGACCAAAGGACATCAAATATGCTTTCAAACGTTTTTAAATGTTTCATGCTTATTTCGCTTCCCAAGAAACACGAAACTGCGAAAGGCTAACTTATACTAGGACATTACCCGAAATTAAAGTTGAGTTGAAATGCTAAAATTGAAATTGTTAGTTTTTGTGGAAAATGGCAATTGTTTCCATATAAATTTGATCCGCCATGTTTCTCGTTTTTTTTACTCATTTTTAACCTTGTTACTTGTATTTAATATTAATTAAGAAAGGCACCGAACTGTGGAATCGCATCAAAAATTCGTATATCGACCACTCCCACCAACGTCTACGACCGTACCTACATATTTTTGCATTTTACAACTCTAATTTTAAACAGCCAATCGACGTTTAATTGTAATTGTTACCAAGAACCTGATTGGCTGTTCAAAATTAGAATTTGTGAATTGTGGGAGTGGCCGATATACGAATTTTTTATGCGATTCCACAGTTCGGTGACTTTCGTAATATGTAATAATCAAAGAAATTGGAAAGTGAAATATTATTTACCTCAGGTTAAGTTTCTTCAGATTACTAAGCTCTCCAATTGCTTCAGGTAAACTTGTTATCTCGTTATCATGAAGCTTGAATCAGAATATTTTTTATCAGAATCAGTATGTTAATTAATTTGGTGCTACATTGCACACCTGGGCCCACTTACAACATTGCATTTAATGCATTGAGCTATACATTGCACATCATAAATCTTCTATTTATTTCAGGGATGTTGGGTTGGGGCTATTGGAGAGAGAGGGTTAATAAATAAGAGGGCAGGGCTTAATATGAAATGGAATGACAACTTTATTCAAACGTGGTAATCTGCGAATTCATGAATCAAATTACACCAGCCTCAATATTTCATTAATTAATTATTACAAAGTTAACTTATAATAAATGCTATTTTGGTTGCAAAATGTTGTAAAATACGGAAAATATAGCCCTGTGAAATTAGCAAATGTTCAGTATTTTTAATTAAAAAAATGGTAAAAATAACCATTTTTGAGCCGAAAGTGGTCAAAATACTGAAAATTCACCAATTTCACAGGGCTATAGTTTCCGTATTTTACAACATTTCGCAACCAAACTTTGCAATTTTACTCATTTTAGGATGCTCTTTTGATCTATAATGAATAATTATATTTCGTCTTTCTTGTCTAGATAAAAAATTAGTCGATAGCTGGAATTGTCTATTACACCACCACAGGCATAGGAAAATATTTAAAAATAGAAATGGTAAATAATTAAGCATATTTCATTATGATGATTATACCTACGTCCTATTTAATTGGTAATTTGGGTTTCTACCAATATCCCATATCTGACCCCGGCCCTCCTGATTAATGTTAGTATTACTTATTTTGGGGGGGTTGCTGGGGGACTTATTTCAGCATTTAATAGGTCTTTCCAGTATTAATTCCACTGTCATGGCTACTACTATAGGTTCTGCCAGCTAGGAGTACATCTTGCAATGCAATAAACCCACACCAGCAGTGCTGATCCACTTAACCTCTTAGTACAAGGTATGCAGGTTAAGTGCAAGGAGGCCAAGACTTGATCAGAGCTCATGGCTCCCTTCAGTGTCTTTAGCTCTCAGCAAACAGTGCATCAGACTGCTGCATCCCCTACAGTATTGTCCGATATTCCTGTACGTGCCCCCAAACCTCAGCAACTTAACCAAAATACTGAAAATTATATACTTTTCAATGGTCTATTTCAGAATACCAATTTTCAAATAGGCTGTTTCTATGGTAACCAGGCTGGGCTGTTTTGGGCCTGTTTTCTCAAAGACAAAGTGCAGTTTTTTTGTGGTGGAAAATTACCTTTCCTTTGATATAAACAACCAGGCTGGCCTGGTTGCAGATCCTGTATATCTCACAAAAAACAGGTGATACCTTGGAAAACAGAATGAAAATAACCCATATACGAAAAACATACATCCTGGGAGATTCCAAAATGAGCTGTTGTAATTCTGCATCTATCAATGTTAAGCCCCAGGTAGGAGGTGGGCATACGGGCATTTGATACTTTACTCTTCACCCGCTGGAATTATCTCTATTAATTCTCTACCTCCCAAAGTGTGGGATATTTGAATTACGCATCTTGCATCCTGAGGAAGAGCATGTGTTGAGGATTGGGACAAATGACTTTCAAGCCTTTCACCACAAATATGTGTGCCCAACAGTGGGGCATTTGATCACATTTTCAGACTGATATTTGCTTCCCCCATGGTACTGTAGGGAATGACCAAAAAATTGCATGAAAAATCATGCCCCACATATATGCCCAACCCTCCCACCCTGGGGCTTAACATTGATAGGTGAATTAGCACTAGTTTTTTAAAGTTCCCCAGACAGAAATGTAGGTAAGTGTGAGGTATAATAAATTAATGCCAGCCTATCCATCGGCCAGACTGGAAAGTTTGGAAATTGCGCGCCGGAGTTATCTGCTGCGCGATACAAACTTTCCACACTATAGCTGGTCCATCGGCATATGTCTAATTGTTTGCCGCCCCCATGTGGTAACATCTGAATGTAAAAATTACTTATGGCTTATATGAGCAAACTTACATCAAGTACAACTAAAGCCTGTAACAGCTGAACATCAGGAGAAATACTTGTTATTTGATTTGAGGCAAGAATGAGTTTATTTAACTGTGTTTGATCCCACCATTTTTCATCAGAATCAAGTGATGCATTCCTTTCTTCTTCTGGTATTTCTTGGTTTATTTTCCATATTTTATCTGGAATTATTTTTATTTCCCGGTTAGATAAATTTAGCTGCCCAGACTTGCGAGCTTGTTTGAGTATTGCATCCGGAACAGTCCCTTTAGTGCTTTCATTTTGTCCCGCTGTCTTTGCAGCAAATTTCTTTCGCCCTTGCATCTTGATATCTTTTCAACAGTTCACGCAGAATTTCATTGCCTACGGTGCCATATTATGACATGAAAAGGCAAAATATTTGTCAAAGTCAAGAAGAAACAAATAAATTAATATAAAGATTTGACTATATTATGCAAGTTCTGCATGCAAAATCAGCATTTTTTCCTACCAGTAAATATCATACGCCAAAAAGATGATTTGAGGAAAAATTTACTTCATCGCTCTGCTTCATCGTCAATAATCGTGTCTTAATACAGTAATATTAAGCAGTCTTATTTCTATTCCTTGGTGCACAAATCCATAATTAGGTAAATAATTATTTCAGAAATCAAAATTGATATGATGGATGCAATTTGTTTCAGAAATGCAGTTTCCCTATAAAAATATTTCACTAATGACTATTAAATTTCAGATTTTCAGCACATTCTGAGTGATGTAATTTATCTAAATATTGTGGTTTTGACGAGTGACGAATATGGCGGGCATCAAAGGTATGTAGGCACGTAATCTAGTGTTTTTGAGTTCATTTTCAAGCATAAATGTCGTGCAGACCTTTGCATGAATACATTCTTAAGTCGAAATTATTGTTTATAGTATTCATTTTGTTTTCTTTTGTATTTTTATGGGTGGAAATGAACCTAAACTCCAAATGATTGATGTGATTTAATATTCCATATTTTTATAGCGTGAGTATGTTTATTTGTATACAATATAATAATTTATAAAGTAGAGGTTTAAATCAGTTGCGATGCTACCTTAACCAAGTAAATTTAACGTATTTTACTTATCATGGTCAACTTTCTGTAATACTTGTGAATGCAATGCATCCATTTAATATGGATGAGGTCAGTAAAATTATTTTTAACCCCTAAGTCTAAGAAAAAAAGATCAAAGGCCCGACTTTTATACTTCCATCTATATGTTTTCAATTTTATCAATGTTCAATTAAATTTGCAGTGCAACTCATTCTATGGCTGAGGGGTGATGTCATTAGAGGTGGAAAATCCTTTTGCTAAGGCTGATTTACTTTCATTTACATTTTAAACAGTCTTAATTTTGATGTTCTACTAAGCATGTGCCAAATTATATTGGTGCTTAATTAAACTGACTCATACCCAGCACCAATCTAGTTGCCATGAACTCACAAATAGTTAAATCATACATCTGAGTTTGCCCAGGAACTGGGTTCCGGTTAACCTGAGATCAGGCCCTATTTTAAAAATAATAGCCAGACACAAACCTAATTAATCCGATCGCTTTCCACCCACAGCAAAGTTGATATTTAGTATCCAATCAAAACGTCGCAGGAGAAATTTAAATTTCACACAACGACAACAACAATCTAATTATAGTTGTGATCACTATAAAATATACAACAACAATAGTATAATCTAATTAGCACCAACCAATCAAATGACAGATTAAAAAATCTTTTGTCTCATAGACCAATCACACCCAAAATACGGTTGTATGGCATGGACTTTCGTTAAAGTTTGTATCAGGCCTATTTATTTATTTATAGGCCTGATCGCAGGTTAGGTTCCAGTGTACCTCTAGACTTGGGGTGCATTTAGTAACAATCTTCCCAATTTTATGTGACTCAGGACTCCTTTGTTTTTAACATTGACATATTAATCCTAATCTCCAGTTAACCCATTGAGCCGCAATGTGCCCCAGTGCACCCTACTTATTTTTTTTACTTGTCTAATGCCAGACGATTTTACTCGTCAGTGGGGAAGTTCAAGCTCTGCAGTTTAATGGGTTAATGTCGGCATAGTATTATAACTACAGGTGTATGTACCACAGAATACCACGGTACCACAGAATACCAGTCTTATTTATTTCTTATATAAAATTTGAAGGAAATATGCTATAAACTTTATTTTCGTGATTATATATTAGTTTAGTCTTAATTGACATATAAAAACAAAAAATGTATATTTTCTTAAAAATTCTTAAAAATAATAAGGATTAACAAAAAGTAACATTCTATATTTTTGGTACTTTTTTTCGCATAATGCCTGTAAAATCCGAATGTTTAAAAATAAGTTCGCAAACCAGCATAATTTATGTTGATCAATACTTTTTCTATGCAACACAACATTATTACTACACTGGAATCACACAGTGTAATCAATTTTACCATTGAAAAACTGAATTTTTCAAAATTATTGATAAACCTGGTATTCTTTGGTTATAGCACTGGTATTCTGTACTGATCTTAGTGTTTAACTTTCACTAAATTAAGTTAGCAATATCCCACAGTATTATCATACAACATGACACACCAAATCCTGGTACAATTTGATAAACCGTTGCTTACTTACCTCTGCACTGGTATTCTGTGGTACATTGGATTTTTTTCCACAGAATATTCATTTAAAAAAAATAATTAAGTCCATGAAATCTTACCCCAAAACCCCCAGGAAGAAAAAATATATCGATAGACTATACTAAAAAATATCAAGGAACCATATTATATACATTAGACAAAAGATATGGAACATGTAAATTTTTGCAGTATTCTGTGGTACATACACCTGTAGATGTACTTGGGAAGCTTGTCCCCAAGGAAAGATATGGGGAGATCAAAGAGTTATAAAAAAGCACTCAAAGGAATAAAATGTCGAAGTCTGGCAATAATAGTTCTACTAATTTTTGATGCAACATGACTAATGTGATATTTCCATGTTAAATTTTTATCTACTAGGACTCCTATAAAAGTCCTAGATATTTAACATACTCTTTCAAGTCTTTCAATACATTCTAAATTAAGTTATTAAGAAACTAATCTTTAAATTAATTTGATAAATAAGCTTTTTTTATATGGATGGGAAATAAAACACTCAAACCATATTAGTCTCACACCTTTTTGAACTTGTTTTCGCAAATCACCATGCACGCTTTTGATAAAATCTGCCAAATTCTGTTTTTCACCAATTTCGGTTTTTGTTGTCGAGGACGCCATATTGTAAATCCAAGAATTCCTTGGCAAAATCTCGAAAATTCCTCAATTTTCCAGCCAATACTTATTATACTTTTCTGTGATTTCTGCTTGATGACGTTAACGACAGTCAATTCATTCATATGTAACTATGAAAATCAAGTAGATAAACTCAATAATTGCACAACTTCAAAACAATATGAAATTTAAAAGCTAAAGAATGGCCAATAAAAGCCAATGTGATTCCTTACACCTGGAACTTATGAGGCAAAATTCCTGTGAACCGAATCAGCGTTGTTTTGGCTTGCGGATATACCCATGAGAATTAAAAATTAAAAGTTGTTGTAAAAAACCACAAAAAAAACTGATGTTTGAACTCAAATTTCCATATTCAAATCAGGAAATCGGCTGTGAAAAAAGCCTTCCACTCAATGATACAATATTGCAGTATCATTTAGAGTGATATAACGTCTTTATAAGGAAAGCGCTAGAAGTTTCCAGCATTCAAACTTGGTTCAATTTGACATGCAAAGAGCACGTTTTTGACAAAGTCACATATTTTCGGACTATCCTTCGTCTAAAAAGCGCTATGGCTTTTGATATGGAAAGGCTTATAAAGTACATTTCAGCCGTAGCAATAGTCTCGTTTCTTGTGGGCGGATTCTTAGGCATCTACAGTCGATGGGAACACCATTCGTCCGATAAAAGTTTTATAATATTTGGCGTGGTCGCAGCTGTGTTTCTCGTTTCAGCTTTTGTTCTGTACTTGTTGAACCGACAAGAACTAGCCAACGCCTTTTTGAATTTATGGATTGGTATCATATTTAGCGTCTTAACTTTCACATCTGTCGCCTATGATCATATGTTTGTATCAGCTCAGGATTTGGATGTTGTAGACATGTTACTGATAGGAAGCACATGTATTTATTGTTGTGGGACTTTATTAGACAGAATCCATAATTATGGCAATGTCGAGTTCCATTTGCTTACCATACGGGAAGTGCTTTTACTAGTCGGCTTCGCATTTGGGAGCGTTGTCTCGGAACATGGTGCGCCCATGGTGCTTTTGGCATTGGCCGTCGCATGCAACTTGATTGCGGTACATTTGAAATCAGCTTTATCATTGGTCAATGCAGTTATGACAAGCGTTCTGGTGGCAATGGAGTTTTTTCCGGCAATAAAAGTTCAGTACAATCCATTTTGCTTGGCAACGTTTGCGATATTGCTATCATTTGAAGCAATCATCGACATGTACTTTTCAAAGTACTCAACAGTCGACCGGTGGAAGGGGTTCCTTACTTGTGGAAAATGGCATCGTAAATCTCTGGTTGTTCTTATATTTCTAGGAGAGTGTATATACGTTGCCTGTGCCGCCCAAGTAACGTTAAGCCACCACAGGGCTGTCGTCATAGTGCCAATATTCTTCGCCTTTTTGTTATTCTGGATAGCTGGACATATAGTGTTTCTTGTGGATTGTTGGGGATTTTTAATTAAGCTTGAAGAATGCTCGCAAAGTCTTAAAGAAGAGTTCGATACTAACACAATGTTGGATGTGCTTGCTTCGAGAGGTGTCCGTCATTTTTGTCTCATATCAAAATCCATCATCCTTATTACCATAGCAACAACAGTGTTGCTAGGGATACCCTCATGGCAAGTAACAAACGCTTGGTTCATTAGTTCTTTTTTGATCGTCATGCCTGTGGAGTCTATGGTATACAGTGTTTTGTCAAGCCTTGGGAAATGTCTTGGTGGTACAGCTATCGGTTACGCTGTGGTTATACCATGTTACAATTGTCGGAAAGATGGACTCGTAGTAGCCCTCCCCGAGGCAGAATACCAGGGAACCAATAGGACGGCAGTTGAACTGATAAATCTATTATCCAGGTTCTTCTCCGAACACATAGTACACAGTTTTGGGACAGAACTCTGTACAAGTGGTCTAACATTACAATCTTTGGAATCAAAATTGGAATCATTCTTCAACCAACGTGTGCTACCTGGCTTGCCGTATGATACATTTGTGTTATACTACAGTGGACCAGTGCACGATAATGGTGACTGGGCTTTGCTAGAAAATAATGCTTTTTCATTGAACCAACTTCTTAGCCTCTGGGAGAAAATGAATGGTGAGACCGGAGCAAGGCTAATCCTAGTACTTGACACTGAAAATTCTCACAAGTGGCTTCCAGAAGTTAAAAAGTCGAAGTACTTTATTGGTGCACAAGTTGGAATCGCTAGCAAATCTGATGATGTTGAAGCTGCTAATACTCAGACCGTTGGTGAACTAACAAAACACTGGGTTTACTTAAATTCTGCGCACAACCATAATGATGTCTTGGATTCTAGTATGCCACCCACTGAAGCCAATGTTAGACCAACATTTGCTGTTTCAAGGCGCTGGTGCGAGTTCAAATTTCACGTACCAACACAAAAGGATATCTCGCTGCACATTGAGGAAAGCTTTCCTGCAATTGTTCAGCCAATAATGAGATTATGCAACATGTTTCCACAAAGTGCTGATTTGTTTTGTTTTTGCGAGGAGTGTGTTGCGATGGCCAGAAATTTGAAAATGAGATGGTTACCACCGTTAACACTCGATACTGGCCATGGGTTTAAACTCATCAGAACAATAAATAAGATGTAACGTTGAAATGAATAAACAAGAAGAAATTAGTAACATTAGAAATCATAGTCTGATGTAACAAAAACTTTGTTCCATTTTCATCTGGCATTAGCTACTTATTTATTTTTGTAATAAATAACTAAATATTGCCTACACTTATTTATCTTAGCCAGTGTTTAGTACTGAACTAGAGGGAACTTAGTGACCGCATACCTCCGCCATGGAATACACGCTTCCGGAAAGTATATCACCTCAATGGTGGATTTAGGGGGGTGCACCCCCCCCCAGGCTCTGGTCAACAGGGGTGCATGGGGGGGGGGGTGCAAAAATGACATTTATCCTAATTCTAACCAACTTATGTTAAGGAATTCAGTTGCGTATCACCAGTTGACAATAGCGGAATAGCCAATATTAAATATTCTGAATTTTTAAATGTTTTGAGAATCTAAAAATTTTCCAGAATGTTTTCTCAGAATGCATGCTGGAAATGCCATTTCAGAGACCCAAATTTTAAATATTTTCTGGGGGAGTATGCCCCCGGACCACCCTAGAAATCTTGCGCCGAATCGTTTCGCCATTGGTTAGCACCCCCCAAAAAAAACTTTGCTGGATCCACCACTGTATCACCTGCCATAGAGCTTCGTTTTCAATATCTAGACTTTGGGCTTTCACTAATTTCACATACATGAAAACAAGGCTTTATATAACCAAAGTGACATACTTTCTGGAAATTATACAATAGGTGAATTACACATTCAGTTTACTCTGCCTAGCAAAGCAAGACAAACTTGCTAATTTCTCATCAAAAAAAAATCCATCAAAATTTAATTAATCAATTTGTCTTTGAGCAATGTCCATCAGTCCCCCACAAATTTACGTATTAATATGTTTGATAGTTTAGCACTGACAAACATGCAAATGCTGGTTGAAAACAAAACTTGGTGGAGGTGTAAATATCCAACCATAATATTATAACTAAATGGTTAATATAGCTGAAACCTATAACATACATACTGATATATCATAATTCAGCTCACTCCTAGATATTTACGGCTGTACACAAGCTAGCTAGCTCACTCCCCATCAGGGCATTATAGCCTAGACTATCTTTACAAAATTGTAATATTACTTTCCTAACTATGTTTATCCTAACCCACCCTGTCAACTTTCCCTGTGGGAGGAAACCGGAGCATCCGGAAAAACCCCACAACTTTCTGCAGAATGTAGACAACTCTTTTCACAAGAGTCTGTAGCAAAAACATAACCCACAATCTCCGAGGTGAAATTACACGGAGTATTAAAATATGTATAAACATCAACTTTCAAGTAAGAGTACATAACATCTGTCACTCAATAAAAAATGGACCTCGTTTTATGCATTGGAAAACCTCCAATCTCATCTTCACAGGCTTTAGTAGAATCCCACAAGAAAAAATCTACTAGGATAGCATTAATTACCACCTTATCACCATTTCCAGAAATCTTTTCCTTTTGCATTCTTCGTAACTCGTTGCAAATTAATTCCACTGCCCAGATGCTACAACCACGGATCTCGACTTCTAGTGCGCTCCCGTATGGAAGTAGCTCACCTTGTTTGAGTATATTTTGTAGCTCATTTGAATATTCAATAACGTCAAGGAACTGTAGCCCACGTGGGACTAAGTAGTCTGCAAACATGGTTAACGAGTCGATGTCTGTGAACTCACCAAAGTCTTGTCCCTCAAAACAGGCCCAGATGTCCGCAATTAGAATTTGCGCTCGTTTATAAAGGCCTACTTTCTTATTTTGAAAAGTTGCTTCGTCACAAAAACATGAAAATTGGGTGACAACCATATCAAGCAGTACCTTTGCACTTTTGTTGCAAGATCTCAGCATGTTTACAAAAGTATTTTGGTATTTTTCAACAAGAAGTAAGCCAGTTTCGTTGAGGTTTTTGACTCGCTCTGTGAGAAGTGGTATATTGGTTGTGGTTTCAGATTGAAAGATCGTTTTCAATCTATCTTCTGTTATTTGGGCGTAATAAGAAGGAGTGGTTATAGGAATGCCATTCTGGAAAAAGATGATTTAATTTATGTAAAGCCTGATTTAGCCTGGTGTTGACCAGGTGCACCCTCTCCTCTTGACAAGTAAAAATGTCTGGTATTAGACAGAATAAAATAATAAAGTAAGGCACATTGCCACTTAATTAAAGCCATTTAAAGGGTTAATGTGAAATTTTAAGTTGTAGGTTCTAATTTGCTTGGTATCATGTCAACTTCATCTCTTTGTAATTAATCGATCTAAACAACGAACATGTTTTAAATATTGTTCATCAAATTGTTGTAAAACACCTTTCCAAAAGTGAAATGTCATGGCGCAGGTTCCCCCCCCCCCAGGTAAGGGGGGGAGCCATGGGGGTGGGGGCATGGGGGTGGAGGCAGGGGGGTGGGGGAATGGGGTGAGGGGGGGTGCAGGACTGGAGCCTGACAGCTTGTAATGCTGTATATCATTGAGAAATGGAACTGACTATCTTATATACCAACCTCTAATGCACGGTTTATAGCAGCACATAATGCCCAATATCCAGTATAACAATTCCCACGATACTTCACCACAAACGGTGGCGTTTCCTGCTCCACCCAGAACGAGAAGTTCAACGTGTCCAACAAAAATATCCAATCTACTGTGGCTTCACTCAACTCTTTCGGGTGTAATTTGTGTTTTCGCCAAGATTTTACTGAGTATAAACTCTTCTCTAGTTCAGGGTAGATTTGTTTAGCAACTTTTTCGACTCCTTCTTGTTTTATTGAGACGTGTTTCGCACAAGAAGCGATAAAACTGCCCGACGCACGTGGCGACAACGTGGCCATTTTGTTTCGAAATTTCGAAGTGTTCAAGTGACCCCCCTGAAATCTTATTCTGTGATTATTAGCATTTTAATTAAAGCGTAAAATTTGAACCCGGGGGGGGGGGGCGGGTGTGAAAAATGCATCGTGCGTTAAAGATAAAACGCGGATCCGGAATTATGGAAACGGAAAGCGGGATAAAAAGCGGAAAAAGAATGAAACGCGTACGTTTCGGAATTTGTTGGAGCAAATGTTGAACTGATATATTATATTTATAGCTAGGATAATCTGTGATAAAACATGACAATTTAGCAAATCATAGCAATCTCGAGAGTTATAACGGTTCGTGATTTGTTTGTAATGACGAACAGAGTATGAACGTTGTGTGTTAATTGCGACAATTCCTAAGTAGCACTAAAATATAATTTTATCTTCCATGCCAGATGGCCCAAATCTACTCTCGTAAGCGTCTTTCCATCCAAGAATGAGTATTCTTCTAAGGATTTCTACGACTGTTCATTCTTCGATGAAAATGGCGGTATACGTATTTACACATAAAAGAATGGCCAAGTTATAACCAGTTAGGAAAAGGCCCCATATTCAGTTACAGTAAATACCCGTTCAGATTCTTGCAATGATCTTATGTAGATAAGCTGTTAACAGCTTTCATCGCGGCTTCATCAAGATTATCAGCGGTTGTCACAGGTATGCCACTGTTTTTGAGTTCATTTAGTACCTCTTTTGCTCTCATCACATTCGTTCCTGCAAGAAATGGCCATGTCAACCCTTCCCTTTTATTTATACTGGATATAATTCTGTCAGTTCTAAACTGTTCTCTAGAGAGATTCAGAAAGAGGTATCTCTTACTGGTCCAGTGTTTAACCCTGACGTTCTTTAAACCGGGATCAAACGAGGCTGAGACATTGAACTACCACTCGGGGTTAGAGGTTAGGGGCGGGGGTCAGGGATCAGCCTTGATACATTATAATAGGGGTCACATGAAGTATATACCGTTAGCCTTCCAGTTTACTTATTTAGTTCAATGGGGGAAGACCGCATGAGAGTTGGCAGTCACGTGACCTTGGTTACCTATTCTTAATGCTCTCAACACTATAATGTATACTAGTTAAGTTAAAACGTAGTTAACTTTCATCCAACCTTCATTTTGTAAATTTAGAGTTTGAAATCTATACTGGAACTCTAAAAGCCCTCATCAGAAAACCGCATATTTCACATTGAATGTCTCGAGAAATGAATGAATGCTTGAAAGTACGTAAGTAATAAATGTTCAAATTGAAAACAGTGTGTTTACCTTCCAATCGTACAATTAAAGGAACATCAACCTTCAATTTTTCATAAGCGGCTTGAATACCTCTCGCGACCATCTCACAATCTACAATCCCACCAAAAATGTTCACGAGAATAGCTTTTACCTAAAACACATGATTATAATGCATGTAGATAACATAAAAAACATGTTGGCAAATTATTTGAAAAGCAGAATGAAATACTGTTTGACTGAGATATTTTAACGCTTTAGTAATTACTTTAAGTTTTTTTCTCAATTAAATTAATACCATTAGCGAACATCTGGTCGCCAGATGAAAACTTTGTTTCCAATTGCCCGTGGCGATCCTGGTAGTAAGTAGTAACTCGCCAAACGTATCTGCTACCCATGCTTCCCACAATGAAACAAAGCAAAGCAAAGCAAAGCAAAACAAAACAAAACAAAAAACAAACAAACAAAACCGAACCTACATTTTCATCGGACGCAATAATTTTAAAAGCTTGATGAACACCCTCCTCTTGAATACCACCACCGAGGTCCAAAAAGTTTGCAGGCTCACCATCATGAAGTTTGATCATGTCCATGGTTGCCATGGCAAGGCCCGCGCCATTCACTGCAAAACAAAATAGGAAGCTGCTTATTTCCTGACGAAGAACCTTTGCTCAAAAAGTGCACTATTCAAATATTTTTTTCTTTTCCCAAACAGTTCAGACGCAACTACGCCAGCTTATTGTAAAATACTATCTAGACATGATCCCTACGTTTGGCATAGTAAGGTGAATAACTATCAGGTGCTTTTACAAAATTACAAATACAGTCAAGGTTGTGTCTGGGGGAGTGCTAAATGGGCACTGTCATCATTTAAAAATAGCCCAATAGTGTGTGGGATTGAATGTTTTAACCGAACGCTGGAGTCGAAGTAAATTAATCGAATTCTTTCAAAAATTTTTAAATTTTTATTTAAGATTACTTGTAAATATTGACTCTTAACATTAGTCTTAGTTAATTTTTTTTTATACAGTTTAAATGTAATTCACATTGTAAATTAGTATTTAGTATTTACTATTTAATGTGAAACTCTAGAAAGATTAAAGATTAAAGATCAAAATTTTTATTTTCTTAAACGAAAATGCTCTTAAAACTGTATTGTAACTTGTTTTGAAGATTTTTGTTCCCATGCTTAGTTCTTGAGATATTTCATTTTGTTTGTAACCATGTGACGTCATTTACTCAATTACATATATAATGAGATATCAGTAATTGTTGTGTATCTTTGCTATTTTTTATCAAAATCTTTCGAAAGATGCGGCGCGTTTATTAATTTAACCTACATCATTAAGCATACTGGTTTTTTTAACAAATTCATCAAAAATAGAAAAGATACACAACAATTACTGATATATCATTACCTCCGCCAGGAGGTTATGTAATCATCTGGGTTTTTACCTCCGCCAGGAGGTTATGTAATCATCTGGGTTTGTATGTGTGTGTGTGTGTGTGTGTGTGTGTGTGTGTGTGTGTGTGTGTGTGTGTGTGTATGTGTGTGTGTATGTGTGTGTGTGTGTTTGTCTGTGAGCACGATAACTGAAGAAATACCAAACATATCCGTACGAAATTTTGTGAGTGCATTTCCCATCGACTAAGGAAGAACTGATTAAAATTTGGTTCAATTTGGTTAAAAATTGAATGAGAAATAACAAAAGTTTGTCTTGCTTTTCCCGGTCAATTAAATAAAACTTATACTGAATGCGTAATTAGGACGTGCATAATATATGCACCAGCCATTCAAATTCTAATAACAATAGATTACTTCAATATTTTGCGCGTAGGCGGAGGTATGCAGTCTCTGAGTGCCCTCTAGTTATATATGTAATTGAGTAAATGACGTCACATGCTTACAAACAAAATGAAATATCTCAAGAACTAAGCATGGGGCCAAAAATCTTCAAAACAAGTTATTATACAGTTTTACACTTTTACGAGCATTTTCGTTTAAGAGAATAAAAATTTTGATGACAGTGCCACTTTAAAAATTCAAAGGAGTTGATTTTTATTTTACGTTCAATCAGGGACCTGTTTCTATATTACCTAAAATCGGTGAACATATTTTAGCGGTGAATATATTACGACTGCTTCTGAGCAGTCCACGTGATAAAAGGTCATGCAAAGGTGACAATTTTACCTATACATGCGATGTTGCCGTCCATTCCAATGTAATTTAGGTTATGTTTCTCCGCTTCGACTTCTCTCGGGTTTTTCTCTGCAATATCTTCACTTGCGAACAAATCTTTTTGTCGAAACTTGGCGTTGTCGTCAAAATTTATTTTAGCATCAAAACATACGACTATAGCACAATGGATAAAGAAAGAAGGAAATCAAGGAACATATCATCTTGTAACAAGATTAATGAGGTCAACAGACTCGCAACAAGTTATTCCAACAAGTCTGATATCGTCTGCACGCAACACATTTTTAACAAGTTGATGACAACAAGCTCGTTGCAACTTGTTGGCAGATATGTAACAACCTGCGCTACCTCTAGCGAGGACAATTTAGCACAAATCTGTCACATACCTCGTCCGTCATCAGTTTCTCCAAGCGGGTTAACCTCAACTTGTGTTGCGTCACGAGCAATAAACAGTTCGTACAACCTCTCGATTTGCACAGCTGCCTACAAGTACAATATACATCAGGGTCTTAGCTAGAGGGCCGTGTTGGCCGTGTTATTGCGGGCAAAAATGGAAAAACACGGCTAGATAAAACGAACGCGGCTTCATTATTTATATAAGGCCGTGTAGGTTCATAAAATAAGGTGTTGCTACTTACAACAGACAGATTTCTTTCTATTTACGTCGTAAGAAAGTTTGTAAAATCTACTGTAATTTTTGAAATTGGCAAAAGTGATCCGTGATGTTTTAATGTTTTGATGGATAATGGGAACCATATGGTGTTAAAATGGCTTTAAATACCCCCAAGAGTTGCTGAATTAACTTACTATTTCAATGTCAGTACGCGATGTGAGCGTATGCTCGCCTTGTATTTGGTTGCAAAGCATACAACAACCACAGGCATTGTCTGTTGTTGGCGAGCATAACTAATACCGTGAATTTGGCCATTCAAGGTAATTGACATGGGCACACCCTGGTCATTTAGAAACACGCCCAAGATCTTAAATCCTAGCTAAGACCCTGATATACATGGTATATTAATTATTTTAAATTTATTTATCGTGCAAAATAAGAGAAACAATAGATAACTTGCATGTTAGACTAATTTTTCATCTAGGCAAATTAAAATTAGTAAAATTGCAAAATTGGGGGTTCCGAAATGTTGTAAAATACGGAAAATATAACTTGCAAAGTTTGCATATTTTGTATATGTTTGAATAACGTGTGGAAATTGTTACTATTTTTGAGCCGAAGATGGTAACAATTTCGGCACGTGATACAAACATATACAAAATTTGGAAACTTTGCAAGGCTATATTTTCCAACCTTTACAGCATTTCGCAACCAAATTTTGCAATTTTACTATGTTCTTTTTAGCTGTGGTGTTTGATTCCCTTGTCTTTACTTCGATTAAAATTTAGTCTAACATGCAAGTTGTCCATTGAACTGAACGAATACAGTACTTCGTCTCTTAATGATCCTTTGAAATGTAATTTGTCCGCTAAGTCCAACGCTTGTTCTTTTGTGATTCCTTTATTTATATCAACTGGAAACTAAAAATGAAAAAAAAAAGCCCGAAAGATAAGACTAAAGAGGATTTTGTTTGAAACTATCTTTGGACATTGTTATGGTAAAACTCTAGTCCAGATTTGAAAGCATTATGTTGATGTTAATATCAGGGCTGCATGCCGAGAGGTTGTGCAGGGCTCAGAGCAAAACTTTCCCAGGGGAAAATTTTGACCTGGCTTAAAAACTGTAATTAAGACGTGGTTTAAAAACGGCAATCTTCAACACATTTGAGAAAACCTAAGATGTTTAAAATATTTTGCTTCCTTATTCTTAAATGAGTGATGTTGACAAAAACATCGCTGCTCAAAGAACTTATTAATTGCTATTATTGTAAAATGGGAGAAGTGGTGTTTTACAATATGTTGCACTTTATTGCATATTAACCAGGACTTGCGCAGCAGATTTATATTCTCACTTAAGCAATCTTGTATCAAGAAATTTTAAGGGCATTTGTTGCTTTGGTCACCCTTTTGATTCAGAGGCTAGTTGCCCCCATGCCACCCCCCCCCCCTGACCCCCACCTGCTCCTCTCGGCAAGCCTGGTTATTATGGGAAAGATATACTGAATCATACTTTATAAATTTTATCAGGTGTTTTCTCTGCTACTTCTTCTATATCCACACCACCTTCTGGACTGGCCACAATCACAGGTCCCTCAAATGCACGATCCATTAATATAGCCAGGTATGTCTCACGATTGATGTCTAGTGCTTCACCTAGCATCACCTGTTGAAATTGAGTACTGTTTTTTAAAATTAAATTAAATAATGGTCTGTAGAGAAATGATAGTGTCCGGCTGTCCTTGATCACAGATTATATACAATACATAGGTTTGACTTCAGCCAAAAAACCCGTAAATGCAGCCACACTATAATTCACAATCGCAATGCTGTTGCTATGTTCCTAGCCAGTGTGCTTACAAGAGACACTTGCCCCCCCCTGAATGTCTATATCAAGGCGGCCATTTTGGACTTTTTCAGGGGGGTGACAAGTTCCTTTAAGTTAGTACTAGGAACATGGTGAGAGCTTTGCAATTGGAAATCATGGCATGGCACAGCTAGTTATGTCAACATCAAAGGGGCCGACAAGAAGTCAGACTTCTGTAAGTAGAGATGAACAATCACAGAAAAATACATTAAGCTGTCTATTCCTAAAGTTGTGTTTACACTACTGTGATTGACAGATGAGTTCATAACTTATATTGACAACATTTGAACTTTGGGTACCTTACGAACAAGAACTCCATCTTTGCCAGTTTGTTTTGTGACTAAGGAATGACCGATCATCTGATCAACAATGGATGGAATTTCGTCAAAACTGAAGAAATAGAACAAGGATATTAGTCTCACTCCTCAGAAGCTCTGATATGCAAAGAGACATATTGAAATAGGAAAGAAAACTGTAAAATAACTGCAAGATCATACTTTTTACTCAGTTTCACTCCACCTTGCAAACCACTGCTAAACGTTCCTTTGCCACGCCCTCCGGCCAACACCTGAGCTTTGATCACAACCTCACTGACATCTACAACAGTAAGTTTTATTATTATGTATCCCATTAACCCATTGAGAACCAGCACTCTCCCCTTGATGAATAAAATTATCTGGTGTTAGACGGTTCATTAAGGCAGATTAGTGCAAATTGCCACTTAAAGGATTAATAGTACAAAACATAATCTGAAGATAAGCATCTTGAAACCCAAAATATGAGTCACACAAGAAAGTGACTCGTATTTTGGGTTTCAAGATGCTTATCTTCGGATTATGTTTTGTACTATATTTTTTGAAATTGTCGGCTGGTATTGGTTTAAGGATTAATAGGTTACTTACATGTGCTGGTCGTCTGATTAACACACAAGTGTCAGGTTGATCACTCCCCCTTTGACGAGTAAACTTGTAAAGTTAGAAATAATAATTATGCTAATTAAATGTATACCTAATTTCTTCACTAATTCAGACACATCGTTATCACCATCAGCTACTTGAAATTTCTGAACATTAATTCCATGATTTTTCATCAGTTCTTTACTTTGATATTCCTGAAGATCCAGGCAACACTTGCTACTGACGCCAAACGTACGTGCCTAATGTAACAGCAGTAAAACAATATGACTCATGTGTCTCAATGTAACAATTGTAAAATTATAATTGTTTTGGCATTTTTTTATCTGGACAGTTTGGTACATTGGTGTACATGCTTAGGTATATTCTCTGCTTATGTTTTCAACTATTGTGTGTACTTTTGTGCTTCAGAGTTCAGCCTATGATGCTTATCTGTCTATGTAGAAATGAAATCTGATCATGTTCAGTAAAATGTGAGTATTTTATGAAATATTTGCAAATGCTTTGCCTGTTTGCCATATCTCATGATTTACATAAAATCAGTACAAATGAAAACAACTAGATGTCGGTTACTAACCTGGCCTCTCTCTAAACATCCAGACAATAATTTTCGACACGAAATTTGCAAATTACGACCAGAAACGCGTCCTAAAAACGCCGCCATATTTAAAGACCTTCGAAAAGGCCAAATACTTTATCTCATAAAAATGTATTGGATCGAAATTGCAAAGTGTCCCTAAATATCCCTTTCATTCAACAAACATTCCTAATGTTCCTAAAATGTACCGTTATGTCCACTGTTACCCATACGTATCAACTGTTATTCATAAATATCCTAAGTGTATATCTGTGTTCATTGTTATCCCTATGCATCAACTGTTATTCATAATATTACCCCCAAATTTCCCTAAATATAGAGTTGTGTATTTAAATGTTCTCATTTAACCCTCTATGTACAGTGTTCCATACCGGGTTAGGTTAAAACGCGGATGCGGAACGGATGCGGAACGGATATGCGGAACGGAACGGATATGGGGTTAAAATGCGGAACGGAACGGATATGCGGAACGGAACGGATATGGGGTTAAAATGCGGAACGGAACGGAAATGCGGAACGGAACGGATATGGGGGTTACCCATATCCGTTCCGTTCCGCATTTTAACCCCATATCCGTTCCGTTCCGCATTTCCGTTCCGTTCCGCATTTTAACCCCATATCCGTTCCGCATATCCGTTCCGTTCCGCATTTTAACCCCATATCCGTTCCGTTCCGCTTATCCGTTCCGCATCCGTTCCGTTCCGCATCCGCGTTTTAACCTAACCCGTTCCATACCCGCACATTGTACTCAATTGTACATTAGTGTTCCTGTAGCGCATTATAAGTACATTACAATCCTTTATTATCCTTCGGAAGTCACGAGATTTAAATTGTTTTTGTTCTGAAGAATACTGTATGTTGATCAACAATTCACAATATTTTAATTTGTAATGTGTTCCTGTTAAAAAATGTAGAGTGGTTTATAAAGTGGGGACAATTTCATGGCTGGAATTTGGATATGATACTATAGATTTTCTTCAACGACAAGGCAGTTCATTCTCTTTTTACAGATACTTTTCACAAGTTTGGCCCTTTGTCAAGTTACATAATATAAATATTGTTCCTATTTAAAGATCAGTGAAACTACGTACGTGGACAAATTCCTACAGTATTAATGCGAGATGTATTCAAAGTCTTCAAATGATGTGGATAGGCCTTTGTTTGGGGAGGCCAGGCCAAAGGTAGAATAATTGTAATGTATTATATTACAAAAGTTAATAATTTACTAATATATAATATTAAAAAGTTTATAAGATATCAGTTAAAGATTGCCCTAGGATTTTGGTAGTGTATGCAATTATTAAAAGCATGCTCGACTGCCCGTGAATATATTAATTGTTGAGTTTAGCATACTTGGGCTCTGATAGTTTATAAAAGATCCACATATATATGTTCATGATCATGATTGCAGATTTTGCATGTCAAAATATACTATTGGGGAAAGACTGGTAACAAAAAGATTCTGGGATTGCAGACCTGTTCTGCCATTGCTTTGACCCCCTCCCCACCCCCCAAGGAGATAAAATATATTTTTTGACCACCCCCTATAGTTAGGTCATGTTGTGTATTACGTGATATCACAAGATATATATCAAGCCATTCAAAGTTGGTTAACTCTTGCCATTGTAACTTTTTTAAAAGGATCGTTATCTTAACTATGGTGTCGGTGCCGTAACAAGCCTTATGGTTCTAGTAAGTTGAATATAATTTTATGTTATATAGGTGATATCAATCAACACTTTCATTCACACAGATATTTAATACCCATAAAAAAGCAAAGGTTCATATGCTTAGCGCAAAAGCGATATGCCTAACACACACCAAACACATTATCCAATGTTTTTTTTATCTTTAGGAAACACTGATTAGTGCATTCGTATTTCCATTACCACCAAAAGGACTTCATATATTCCTAGCAGTTGTTATTGTAATGGTGTGTGTAGCTGAACTGATTCTAGTAAGTTATGAACAATTTATTTTCTTTCCACAACTATACTGAACACAGGGGTGAATCTAGCATGGGGAACAGGGGGGTGCACACCCCACCTAGTGGTGTCTAGCATCCCCCCCTAGAGAAGTCTAGCAGGCAAACATGCATATTCAACCATCTCAAATGATGGTAATGTGGGGATTAGCATAGCATTGCACGGAGTGAGCAGTGCCTCGTGCACCACTCCAATGGATAAATCCCTGGATCCCTGAATAATATCATAGAGTTAGTGAACCTAATATAACTGAATAACTACCACCTCCTTTTAATTACTTCTTTTCAAATTGAAACTTGTTTCTTTTCAGATATACTGGTATCGACAAGGAGACTTGGAGCCAAAATTTAGACAATTAATTTTCTATAATTCCTTTACAATACTATTATTATGTATTTGTGCAAACTTGATCTTTCACACAGATAATTGACAGACACAAATAGTATGGTAGAGCTGACAGTTTAAAAGATAGATTTAGCACATTTTCTGTCACTTGTGTGGGCTTGTTTTGTCATTGAACTTTTCCGTCTATTTTTACAAATTATTAATACAGTATTGTATTTGCATGGAAGGGTACGTTGAATGACAAAAATTTAGCCTACACACTAGTGGAGGAAATTTATACTATAGTCGAGTTTTCGAGCTATCAGTTGGCCATAGGGGTAGTGGTATACCAAATGCTTATTAAATATGGATCAAAATATCCAAAAAGGTCAAAACGACTTTTGCAAACTTTGCAAAATTTAAATATACCGAAAATTTGCAAAATCTAAATGAACCAAATACCCATAATTTCAATGTAAATATACCTAAAAACCCATTAGAATCGTTAGATACTAGCTGTATACCCAAAACTCTCTGGTTGATCCCAGACAATGGCATGCTGATTGACTATGTTTGAAAATCTAAATCATCAGGCAAAAAAAAGTATAGTGACTTTGTGAGGAATCGTGCTTAATACATACATACGTTAGACAGGAATGAAATGTCTTAGTTTACGTTAAATATACTTTCATCACAATTAGGAAACAATTATTTAATGTATCTGTCTGGTACTAATTATAATGGTAAACAAGTATTTGTATTGGTACATTGTAGACGTAGTGTTATAGGAAGATTAGTGGAATTAACAATCAAAAATCATTGAGTTTTCTTCAAAAGAAATCAAGTGTTTTTGACTACGTAGGTTATTAGCGTGCGTGAACATGTCCATGCAAGGCAAGGCAAATTCCATTTGTAGGACTGCCTGTAACCTATAGACACTTCCCAAATTTGCTGCACTAAATTTTGATCAAGGCAAAAAGAACGAAATCCAACACCACAGCTAGAAAGAGCGTCGTAGAATGAGTAAAACTGCAAAGTTTGGTTGCTAAATGTTGTAAAATGAAGAAAATATAGCCCTGTGAAGTTCGCAAATTTTGTATACATTTGTATTACGGGCGGTAAAAATAACCACTTTCGGCTCAAAAATGGTTCTTTTTCCCGCACGTAGCGTAATGCAAATATATACAAAATTTGCGAACTTCACAGGGCTATATATATTTTCCTCATTTTACAACATTTCGCAACCAAACTTTGCAATTGGACTCATTTAAGATGCTCTTTCCAGCTGTGGTAATGGTTTCGTTTTTGTCTAGATCAAAATTTCGTCTATAACTGGAATAGTTCATTAGTATTAAGCCTGCCCCCTTCATTTACACAACCCCTCCCAATAATGCTTGAAGTCCGGAGCGACTAATAAAAAATGCATAATGTAACTTTATTCAATAGATTTATAATAGAGAAGCAAAGAAAGGATTGCTCTTTTTATAATTTGTTTAACCATCAACCGTCTGGACGAAGACATACTAGATGACGACTATCCGGATCAATTACATTTAACTATCTCGGCGCCCTCAATGCCAAATGTTTTATAAAAATGCGCATTTTATCCCCAAAATAATTTGAATAGAAAATACAAGGGTTGCTGATTTTGTTTTAAAGATTTCAGTTTAAAAGTCATTGAAATCTCTTCAAAATAGCACAGAAATGTAAAAAATATGTCTATAAACTGTTTTAATTAAATAAAATGCAAGATTGGTAAATTTTATAATAATTGTAATTGGTTGATTTTACATTAGGGGGGTCGTATGGTACCACCAGAAAATTTGTCGTTTTAGTACATGACCCCTTGGCATAGAGGACTCGTTATAACTACAATTGATCCGGTCGCCATATTCCCTTATTTATACATTTAGCATTGACACCATTAACTTTCAAATTGTATTTCCCCGTAGAAATAATAGTTATTACTAAGGCATAAAAAATATAGTTTCTGGTCAGCGCGCGTCATTTTTAACTGTGCGCATCAACGGTTCTTTTTCTTATAATTTATTATCTTATTTATTTAAACATTTAATGTGTTTTTAAAGTAGCTCTCATTTTATTCTGGTAAACCTACAAATTTGGTGAAATATTAAAAGCATAAAAATCCACTGTGTAGAAAATAGAAATGCATGAAAAAACCGCGTCGCCTCGTCGAATTTGGACAAACACACTGACCGGAAACAGAAGATTTTTTATGGCTGATACAGAATTTTACTATTTTGCGTATTCTGGATTATTTCTCCTATAATCCACATAAGTTGCGATTTTTTCCTTAATCGTGTCAATATTTAACCTTGTGTTGAATTTCATCAGCTCATGAAGTCGATCAAATGTTTTGTTGTCGTACTGGAATTTGAAGGATGAATAGGGTTCATTAGGATCATCAAAGATCCTGAAGTCTGCAAAATCTTTATCCTCTTTTGTCACTCGCGGTACCCCTGAAATCCGAAATCAAGAACTCAGACACGGCGTTAAACGTGTTTTGAACGTGTTGAATAGTCTTACCTGGCTTAAGGTAGCTCCTGAATGTTTTGTTAATAATAGGAAAATGTAAGATAGTTGGACATGTGACGTCATCTTTATTTTCAAATACATAACATTCGCGAAGGATAGGATCTTCAGTTATTGGGTTCCCTTGGATTTGTGGGAATGGAAGACCGTTACCCTTAGCCCATTGCTCAGCTTTCAAAAGTTCCTAAAAGAACATTTTGAAATACAAGATTATTATTACACATGACATGAATTGAAATTCCCTTTTCTACTCTGAACTGCGAGTTCGTCGTCAGCCTTTCAATAT